AGAAAACCCCATGAGGCTGCCCGAAAACTGTCACAAGGAGATAAAGGGAAGTGACTTCTACTGAAACTTGCATTTCAGTGCTGGCCCAGCCTCAAGAGAAGGTGGCTGGAGCGGTGCACTAACAAGGCTACTGAACCACTATGAGATGACATTTCCCCCTAGGAACAGAAAATAACTCTTGCTAAGTTTCTGAAGAGAACAAAACAGAATTGCTCCTGACTTGCAAGATAGTTGCTCAGAGCACCTGTTAAAACTGTACCCCAAAAAAGCTTATCCTTGTCACAGACAAGGGAGAATATCACAATATGAGCTTCCAGCGCCATCAAAGCTAACCAAATGCATTCCTGCTGCTGCCATCAAGTGTCAACGCTGCCACCCAACCTGCCAGGGCTCCCACAAAATGTAAAGTACCTTTTCTAGGGACGACACAGCTGCTCCAGGGACCAAGGTCACTTGCTAGCAGGTATGTCACCCTCACGCACTGCTCACAGAAGGCCTCCAAATCCACACTTCATACCCACCCACTTCAGGGTCCTTTCTCCAATTCTTTCAGACCACTGAGAAGCCTCTGGGTTCTCCCTTGTTCTATCATATCTCTGCTCCAGTGTCACCTACCAGGAGACATTCTTGCCTTCTTGGATGGGCCCAAGTGTCTGCCTGCCTTGCCTGCTTGCACAGATGCTCCATCAGCAATGCAGCTTACGTATCACACTATGTGGGACCTCCTACCCCATCTTCTCCCACTACACTTCTCACAAGTGACTCATTATCAGAGGAGAAAGTGATAGCTGAAGAATATTAACCATGCTCTTGGTATCAAAAAGACCATATAAACCCGCAGATATACTATTTCTAAAGACAAGACAGTCTAGGCCGGACGCCTGTGGCTCACGCCTGTAATCCTAGCTACTCAGGAGGCTGAGATCTGAAGATCGTGGTTCAAAGCCAGCCTGGGCAGGAAAGTCCGTGAAACTCTTATCTCCAATAAACCACCAGAAAACCGGAAGTGGTGCTATAGCTCAAGTGGTAGAGCGCTCACCTTGAGCTGAAGAGCTGAGGGACAGTGCCCAGGCCCAGAGTTCAAGTCCCACGACTGACCAAAAAAAAAAGAAAGAAAGAAAGAAAGAAAAAGATAGTCTACCAGGAAAAACCTTAGGGGTCAATAATGAACGTGGCACCATTTTAAACTATACACAAGCATGGCTCAGCCTGAAAATTCTTGAGCCTGTAACAACGTGGAAACACACACACACACACACTGAAACAAATCCCTGAAAGGAAAAATCCAACACCCCCACAGGTTCAAACACCCAGGGGAGACAAGGTGTATGCCAACAGTAACAATACATTTCAGAAACCGGGTACTGGTGGCTCACACCTGTAATCCTATCCAGGAGGATGAGATCTGAGGATCATGGTTCAAAGCCAGCAGAGGCAGTAAGATCCATGAAATTCTTATCTCCAATTAACCACCAGAAAACTGGAATTGGTGCTATAGTTCAAAGTGTTGTAGTGCTAGTCATGAGCAAATGAGCTCAAGAACAGCACCCAGTCTGAGTTCAAGCCCCATGACTGACAAAATAAAAGAAATTGTTCATTCCTGATAATTTCAGAATCTGCTACCATACCAAAAGAAGAGAAATGCTATGAAGAAAGGCTGTAAATATTTAGATGTTGTAAAGAAAGGCTATAAAGGCTGCAAACATTTCAAGGAAAATTTCACCACCAAAAATGTTAAAAGATATGACATTTAAAATATAAGTGTGGTGCTGTGGCTCAAGCGGTAGATCGCTCGTCTTGAGCTGAAGAGCTGAGGGACAGCGCCCAAACCCAGAGTTCAAGCCCCACGACTGACAAAAAAAAGAACATCATCTAAGTTAAAATATAATCTAGGGGCTGGGAAGGTGGTTCAGTGGTAGAGCGCTTGCCTTGCATGCATGAAGCCCTGGGTTCAATTCCTTAGCACCACATAAGCAGAAAAAGCCGGAAGTGGTGCTGTGCCTCAAGTGATAGAGCGAGTTCAGGCCCCAGGACTGGCCAAAAAAAAAAAAAGTGCCACTCTTTCCTGTTGTTGATTACCAGTAGGCTGCCCTCTCTAAGTGAAAACTAAAAAACAGGATCAGTAGGTCAGTGGTGTCCTAAACAGGTAGCCTCACAACTCCTCTATACTTGTAGCAAGCTGGGGGACAGAACTCTAGGTGAACACCAAAGATCCTCCTGAGACTAAAGAACTTGGGTGTATCTGTATTAAACTATACAACTAGTTTACCAACAAATCAAGCCATCTGACCCACCTGACAATGCTGAACTACTTCCCAAAAGAGATACAGCTACTTCCCAAAAGAGATACAGCTACCCAGGCCTCACCCATGCGCTACAATGGCACTTCAAAGCATTTATAACTATCACAACAGCCATATATATTCTCAGGCATTTGCCTGAGAATCCCAATGCCCCCACTCACCCAAGCATCCATCCTTTGCCTCCTAGCAGGCAAGTTCAATTTTTCCTTTTTAGTACTGTAGTTTCTAGGATCCAAGGCAGGAGTTGGCATTATGCTCTCCACTCTTTTTTTGCTTTAGTTGTTTTTCAGGCAGTTTAGTTTTTGCTCAGGACAGGCTTCAGCCAGAGGTCATCTTACCTGTATCTCCTTTGTGGCTAGGATCACAGGATCACAGAGGGGTATTACTAAGCCTCCTCCTTGCTTGAGTGAGATGGGGGGAGGGTTATCTAGCTAACTTTCTGCTAGGGCTGGCTTCCCACTGCAATCTCTGCCTCCCAAGTAGCTGGGATTACAGGTATGAGCCACCACACCCAGCCCTTAAATCTTGTTTGACTATAGCACACACAAAATGACAAGTTCTTATCTAACTAAAGATCCCAACAAAAAGGAATTTTTATGCAGTTCTCCCAGCTACCTCTAACAGGTAAGCACTTTATTTCCTCTCACTGTCCTAATTTTACGAAGGCAAAAGGCCAAAGGGAGAGACTGTCCATGAGAGTACACAGGACACACACCACGGAGGCCGCAGCAAGCTGAGGCCAGCTGGGGTCTGACCATCTGCTCAGTGGAAACCCGTATCTCTTGGAGGAATTTTCAGAAAAGCTTGGTAAGCAGAGCTTGTGACTAAGAGCAGATTTAAATCTACACAACAGTCCAACATTTAACTTGAAGAATCTGCAAGGGGGGCGTGAAGGGGGGGAGGGTGTTAGGAAGAATCGATCCACCTCTTTAACCACAGTTCTGTGCTATTCTATGAACTTGAACAACAAGTTTTTCTTGTTTGGTCTACTCTATGGTTAAATGACTTGGGGTCAACTCACAGTGTGGCCCATATTAACTTTACCTTTAAAATCAAAAGCCAAATGTCCTTCCCTGTACTTTCAAGCCCTGCCTGGTACAGGGTAGAGGCCACTGGGTAGGTGGAGATGGTCCAATACCCTCTCCACACAATATTGTGCAAGAAACACAGAGAATACCTTGACTATGATTTTTCTTCATGGCTGTACTCTATTTTGGAATTATTCCCTCTCCATTTTGCCTTTTTCTTCTCCCTCATTCCCCACTGACTGTGTTTTTAAACCAGAACTGAGGAGCACAGAGCTAATGGCCTTGAACATATCAAACAAGCATTCTGCCACTGAGTTACATACAAAGCCCACATTTTTTTTCTTTTATTCCACAATGAGTAGCTGTGAGGTGTTACCCACACCAATCGCCTTAAACATTTTGTGTGTGCACACACTCCACTACGTTGCCAAGGCTTGAGCCGGAATACTAGACAAGTGCCTCACCACTGAGCTACACCCCCCCCCCCACTGGTCTGTTTACATCAACACCCCTTTTGTTATCTGCCTCAAGGGCAAGACACATTGCAGTGTTCCAGGAATTCAGTCTCATTTTCAACAAGATACCTGAGGACAAGTGACAGGTGTCCCACTGCCCAACAGTATTAAACAAAAAACCCTTTATAGCAAGAAGACGGCACACCTGTGGCCAACCAGACTTGTGGCCCGCACCTAAGCCATGCAACACCTTTCAATTTGGGGCTGGGTTAATAATACTGTTCGTTTCAAGCCCTCACAATCCTTGCTACCAGTGTTGCTGAAAACTCAGTTCCGCATGTTAGACACTAGTTCACAGCGAGGGACGCACACATCACAGCGACCCCCTAGTCACACACACACACACACACAGAGCAGAAAACATCAGCTGGCAGGAAAAATGGTTCATCACTTGCTCGGAAACAAGAACTGCCAAGTGACCGCTCCCAGGCCGAGCGGCTGCGGGAGGCCCTCTCCACGGTGACTTCCAGGGCCGCGCCAGGCAGCGGCGGCGGGCTGGCCCGGCCCGGCCCGCCCAGCGTCCCGGGACGGAGGGGTCGGTGCTGCGCGGGGGCCGGCGGCGGTCCGGCACCGTGGCCAACGCCGGCCGGGGCCGGTGCTCCTCGTCGGGTTAAAGGTTCCGGCCCGGGAGCCGGCGTCCGCGGGGGACCGGCCCGGGAGGACCCCCAAGCCCGTCCCGCCGGGGAGCGGGCAGGGGCGGCCGCGCTGCGGGCCCGTGCGCGGCGCCCCGCTCGTCCCCCCCGTCCTCCGGGAAGCCCTCGGTACCCGCGTGACCTTGACGCCTGCTCGGGCCGGCCCGCGCCTCAGTTTCCCCACCCCGGGCCCGGGCCGTGCGCCGAGGCGCGGGCTCGCCCGTCCCCGCTCGGGGCCCCGCGGCCCGGGCCCGGCCGCCGCCGCCCGGCACCGGCAGCGAGCCTCGGGGCGGCGCCGAGCCGGGCGGGGGCTTCCGGGCCGCGGCGGCGGCGGGCTGGCGGGAGAGGCCCGGGAAGCTGCGGGCGACCGCGGGGCCGCGGGGTGTCGTGCGGCCCGACGCGGGCCTGGCCGCGCTGCCCGGGCCCCGGCCGCGCCCCGGAGCCCCCGGGAGCCCCCGCGAGCCCGCGGCCGCCCCGCCGGCGCAGCCCGCGGCCCCGCGGCCGCTCGCCCCTCGGCCTCACCTCAGCGGCAGCCGCTCCCAGCCAGGCGTTGGTTTCGCTCCCACAAGATGGCGGCGCTGACGGCAGCCACGTCAGCGCCTGCGGCCGCGGCGCACGCCGGGAAAGAGGCGGGCACACCGGCTGGACCGCCCTCGGCCCGCTCCGCGCACGCGCACTGGCTCCAAGAGGGCCGCAGGGGCGGACCCAGAGAGGCCCCGCCCCCGGGCCCGCGCCGGGCCCCGGAGGGGCGCCCGGGTGGGCGTGGCCTCCGGGTGGGCGTGGCCTCCGGGTGGGCGGGCGCGCGCACGTGCCGCCTCGGCGGGTCGTCCCGCCCGTGGCCCCGACGCGGAGCCCGAGGCCCGTCCCGGTTCTGCGAGCCCCGGGCGCGGCAGTCGGGAGGCGGAGGACCGTCAGCCCGGGAGCGTGCGGCGTGCCCCGCGGGGTCCCCAAGAGCCGGGTCCCCGCCGTGCCCGACCCCTGAGGAGCCCGGGGCCGCTCATCAGAGCGCTCGGGGCCGCAGCCAGGGGCCTCCTGGCCGGCCTGAGGGGCGGGAGGCCGCGGAGAGCCGGAGGAGGGGAGGCCGGGCGGGAGGGGAGGCCGCGGGGAGCCGGAGGAGGGGAGGCCGCGGGGAGCCGCCAGGGAGGCCCGGCCGCAGGGGAGGCTGGGCCGGAGGAGGGGAGGCTGGGCCGGAGGAGGGGAGGCTGGGCTGGAGGAGGGGAGGCCGGGCCGGAGGGGAGGCCGGGCTGGAGGAGGGGAGGCCGGGCTGGAGGGGAGGCTGGGCCGGAGGAGGGGAGGCTGGGCCGGAGGAGGGGAGGCTGGGCTGGAGGAGGGGAGGCCGGGCCGGAGGGGAGGCCGGGCTGGAGGAGGGGAGGCCGGGCTGGAGGGGAGGCCGGGCTGGAGGAGGGGAGGCTGGGCCGGAGGGGAGGCCGGGCTGGAGGAGGGGAGGCCGGGCCGGAGGGGAGGCCTGGCTGGAGGAGGGGAGGCCGCGGGGAGCCGGCGGGGAGGCCCGGTCACAGGGGAGGCCGTCCGGGCCCTCCGAGCCCACCCCCGCGCCGTCACCCCGAAGGAGGTAAGCGGGGTCCTCCTGCGAGCCTGGGCGCTGGGCCTGGACAGCGGAGGCAGCACCGTCTCCTGGCCCCGGACAAGGGCCTCGCGGGCCCGGGACGGGCGCCTGGACTGCCAGGCTCCCAGAAGAGGCGCGATCCACCTGTCCCTGCTCGTAGCTCCACTCCTCCAGGAGGGCGGCCTGCGTGGAGGTTATTCTCGTACCTGGAAACACATGTTCACGTAAGCAAAAGGCAGAACAGGCCTGTGAGCTCTTCCATGGCTCCCGTGGCACCGAGGGACGACCAGACCTTCCCAGGAGGGCAGCGATCCAACCTCAGAAGGCGGTGTCTGCAGGAGGAGGTCCAGAGGTTGGACCTATCTGACATTATAGGTTATCTATAGATACTGAAATCACACTGTACCCTCTCTCAGTCATGTACCCTATGTAAATTACTGGGCTGGGAAGGTGGCTCCGTGGTAGAGTGCTGGCCTAGCATGCATGAAGCCCTGGGTTTGATTCCTCAGCACCACATACGCAGAAAAAGCCTGGAGTTGTGCTGTGGCTCAAGTGGTAGAGTGCTAGCCTTGAGCACAGAGAGGCTCAGGGACAGAGCCCAGGCCATGAGTCCAGGCCCCAGGACTGGAAAACAAAAAAACAACAAAAAAAACTATTATATTCAATAAATTATTTAATTGGTGGTTAAATGTGAACTGGGCTATGTAGATAAATCCCAAGTCCTAGGTAGGCTAAGGCTCCAGTAAAAAATGATCATATTGCATGTCCTAATGCAAATTCTCTTTAAAGAGTTTACTTAGCAAAAGAAAAAAATCTGTATCTTATGAGACCAAGACTCAAACTCAGTTCTCATGAACAACAATAAAGTAAGATATTGCTGGGTGCAGTGGCTCATATTGGTAATCCTAACTATTTAGGAGGTGATGTTTGGGAGTATTGTAATTCAACATCAGCCCTGGCAGAAAAATTTACAAGCTCCCTCATCTCAACCGATAAAGCTGGGCCTGATGGTAGCATGCCTGTCATTTCAGCTGTATAGAAAGCATAAACAAGAAGGCCAATGTGCTTGGAAAATCAAGACCCTAGCCCCAAAATAAATCAAAAAGGACTGGGCATAGAGTGCCTGTCTAGCAAGCACAAAGCCCTGAGTTCAACCGCAACATCACAACCGCCACATCACAACATCACAACTGCTACATCACAACAACAACAACAAAAAACAGACTGCTGGTTTAAGAAATACACCTTCTAAAAAAGAAAGAAAGAAATATACCTTCTGGTAGACACTGGTGGCTCATGTCTGTAATCCCAGCTACTCAGGAGGCTAAGACACAGGGGAACACAGTTTGAAGCCACCTCATACAGCAAATTCCACTAGACTCATTTCCAAACTAACAAGCAGAAATCTGGGCTGGAGCTGGGTGCTGGTGGCTCACACCTGCAATCCCAGCTACTCAGGAGGCTGAGATCTGAGGATGGAGGTTCAAAGCCAACGTGGGCAGGAAAGTCCATGAGTCCAATGAACCACCAGAAAACTGGAAGCGGCACTGTGGCTCAAGTGGTAGAGCACTAGCCTTGAGCTGAAGAGCTGAGAGACAGTGCCCAGGCCCAGAGTTCAAGCCCTGTGAACAACAAGAACAACAAAATCTGGGCTGGAGGTGGGACTCAAAGGCAGAGCATCATCTGACCAAGCAAGCTCCAGGCATTGAGTTCAAACTCTGGAATCAAAAAGAAAAAAAGAAAGAAATTTATCTTTGTTTTGTGCTTCTGGTCTGGGCCCCAACCTTAAGTAAGAGAGAAAAACAAGTGGACGAGCTTGGGGACGTTACCTGCTCGGAAGCAACGGAGCAGTTTAGTTACCTGAGGAAAGAAGCCTCGGACTCGATTGTCTTTTCCTCCGTGTGACCCGGGGCTGACCAACTCTGACCAGCAGGGGGCGGGAGGAGCTTGCTGGAGAGAGGTGTGGAGCTCTCCACTGATCTAAGCTGGGCTGGGGCTGGGCCTGAGCTCTTCCTCTGGACCCTGTCTCTGAGGACCAGGTCAGAGGCAGTCATTCCAGTCAGGCAGGCCTCTTGGGGAAGGTGTCTGGAAGGACAGATGGATGCCTAGAACTAAGGGGCAGAGGCAGGAGTGCCCAGGAGCCAGGCCAGTGGGAGTCCCGCACGGAAATGGTTGCCTCTTGGGGGATCCCACCTCTCCCCTGTGCGCTGTGTGCAGCCTCTCCAGTCCGTTTGTGAGATGAGCAGAATCCACGAGGATTCTGGGCTTGAGCCCACTAGAGCTCAGTGGCCCACACCAGCCTGTGGCAGCACTTTGATGTCCTCTTGAGGCTTGACATTGTGGTGTCTTTGAAGGCTTCAACATTCCCTAGGATACCTGTGCTGACAAGTCACTACTGCACCGGTGGGGGGGAGATGGGGGTTCCCAGCTCCCCATCCAGCCAGCGTGCATCTTTCTGGGGTTTTCTGTCCCACTCTGCCTTTCCAGGAGGCTCTGAGCAGACAACTACACAATGGCCAAGAAAGATCTAACTTAGCAATGGCTTCAAGGTGGTTCTGTGTAGCATCAGAAGGAAGCACAGTAAAATCATCATCATCATCAGGACCTCTTGGACCCAGTGTAGGAAGAATTTTATTCCTTTAAGTACTTCCTTGGAGGGGGGAGGGGAAGACCCCACCTTTCCCCATTTCTGCCCACTCCCTTCTCCAGGCCACAGAGATTAGGAAATAACTATTTGGTCATTGTTCTGTTTCCTGTAGTACAGTTCCTAGAGTGAGAATCTCTGGATCCCTAGCACATTTGTATGCTAACAAGTTCATTGCCGGCTGGTTGCCCTAAGTAGCTTCAGGATGGGGTTGATTACTGGAAGGCTAAGATAGGATCAGAGGATTGAGACTTTCTGCTTCACCTACAGCTTCCAGGGAGGGCTGGGCCCTAAACTCCAAGAGATCACCAGTGGCCCGGGGCTTAATCAGCCACGCTTCCCTAATGTAGCCTCCCTAGAAATAGCTTCTTAGGTAAAGAGGTGGCAGTTCCTGAAGGGCAGTGCTCGGAGGGCAAGGCAGTTCCAGACCCTTCCTAATTCCTGGCTCCTTTGCATCCCTGGCAATACCCTTTATGATAAACAAGTAAAGTTGGTGTTTCCCTGTGCACTCTGAGTCACTGGAGAAAATGAATCCAATCCAAGAAGGAGTTCTGGGATTCCTGATTTATACCTGGTCTGTCAGAGGCCCAGGAAGACAGCCTAATGTCTGATCCCTGATCTGGACCCTTTTAGGAACAGACAGAAAGTGCCAAGGGCAGAATGAAACAAGAGGTCATTCAGGGTGTTCACGCTTGCAGGGCTGACTGCTGGGTGGTGAGGTCTCTCCACAGTTTAGGGCCATACTAGTCTCTCCAATTGACTTATGCCTCCAGCCTGGCTTCTCTGCCCTGGCTAGGTTTCAAACCACTGTCCTCTAGATCTCAGCCACCTGAGCAACTAGGATTATAGGCATGACCTCTGTGACCTGATTTTTAAGATTTGTGTTTTGTGTGTGTCAGTGTTGGGGCTTGAACACAGGACCTAGGTGCTCTTTTGCAGCTGTTTTCCTTTCAAGGCTGGTGGAAGTGGAGCTACAGCTCTACTTCTAGAATTTTTGAGGGTTTTTTGTTTTAGTTGGTCATGGGGCTTGAACTCTGGGCTTGGGCGCTGTCCCTGCGCGCTTCAGCTCAAGGCGAGCGCTCTACCACTTGAGCCACAGTGCCACTTCTGGTTTTCTAGTGGTTTGTTGAAGAGTCTCAAGGACTTTCCTGCCTGGGCTGGCTTTGAACCACAATCCTCAGATCTCAGCCTCCTGAGTAGCTAGGATTATAGGCGTGAGCCACCGGCGCTCAGCTACTTCTAGAGTTTTGGAGGTAAGAGTTTCAGAGGTTCTACTCTGAACTGGCTTGGAACTGTGATCCTCAGATCTCAGCCTCAGCACTACTGGTGTGAGCCACCAGTGCCAGACCTCTGGTACCTTTTAAGCATCTTGTTTCTCCGTGTGCCCTAGCCTGTTTTCCATCTCCTATTCCAGCCCTT